CCTTGCTTTGCACAGAGTTGCTATTGAGACAAAAACATCTGAAATCCATAGGTGAAACGGCAGCCTCAAGATTCGAACAATTACTCTGTCCCTCGTGTGCAGATCCTTAGAGTTAGAATGAGGAGTCCATTTCACAGAGGCTGACTCCAATTGACAACACATAGCCTGGAGTTCTATTTTCTCTTCTACTAACTCTAGAAGGGCCTTACACTTTTCAAAGGGGGTTAAAATAATAGTACTGTTTAACTCCAGCTTCTTGAGTAACTCTTCAGCAATTCTCTTCCAGTCCTTCAGTGGGGCTGTTAAGGTAACAATAAATTTCTTATCCCAGTCATTCTTGTGCATGTTGCAAATCATTCTACAGTCCTTTGCTGCTTGAGCCATGAGCTGCATTTCTGTTACCTCTTCTGGCAGTTCCTTCTGCTCCCTCACTGTAGAGTCTCCATAAACCCCCTGTGTTTCTTCTACTAGCTCCCTTCTACTTTCTTCTCTAGCTTCCTTCCATGTGATGAAGTGCTTCAAAATCCCTGAAACGTCTTCCCAGCCATTCCACTTCTTACCTTCAGGGAAGCAGACCATCTGCTTTTTTCCTTCCCCAAAGAATTCCATAAGCACCACATACCTTCCTTTAGGATTCTCCCTTCTTTCTGCTATATACCTCCTGCCATTAATCTCAATAGAATCCTTGTATTCAGACTTCCTATTCACCTGAACAGCATCTTCCATGAAAGTCTGAAACCACACCAATGCTTCTTCCCCTACCAGCAACACCATGGCCATATTAGTTTCTCTGATTTTTAAAGCTATCTTCCCTTTCACCCTGTAACTTTCAAATAGGAACTGCTTTGCTTCCTTAGAGATCTTCTTCAAACCTCAGTCTGCTGAAACCTCCCTTCCTCCATTTTCAACCCCCTTGTTCCTCAAGCCCACCACGCTAGAGCTTCTCCTAGTCTTCTAGTTTATATATATATATATAGTCTTATTTTAAAATCTCTTGTTTCTAAAGTATCTATAAACAAATCTAACTTTACATTTAATCCTTCCTTGGTTTCATCAATTAATATTATGTTTGGTCAATTCATCCATGATCCATGACTAATGCAAATAAACAAGGATCAAGTTTTGACTGCTGAGCCTTGATGAAGTCCCATTATAATTGAAATTCTGATGCCTCACCTGTAAGTGTTCTAATATTGGTTGTTGCATTCTCATACATATCCCTAATCAGATCCACAACCCTATTTGTTTCTTTTTCAAAACCAACCATATTATCTCTCTAGGGGCCTTATCACATAAATAAATCGTCTTAGTAGAAAGATAGCATATATTAGTTGATTTCCTTGGTATTGTGAAATACTTGTTTCATCACTTCATGCCATAAGACTCATAACATTTGTTCAATTACTCTCCCACAAAGTTTTAGTGTGGCTCACGAATTTATTGACATGATAATTATTACAAATTTGTATACTGCCTTTGTTTTTAAATATAAGTACCATAGTGCTCTTTCTCCATTCATTCTACATCTTTTATGTTTTTATTATATTATTAAATGGGAAAACATACGATGTTGGAAAGACATGATACCAGAAAGGCTTTGATTAATCAAAACCCCATGAATTCTTATTAAAACTGAGTTAATTGGTTACCACTTTTATGATACCAGTTGATTGGTTATAAGTCTTTCTGGCATTATAGTCGACCCTTATTAAATAATTTAGTTAGCCATGATAGGACTACCTCTCTCATTCCTTTCCAAACTTCTATTAGGATACCTTAAGGTTCTAACACCTTTTTCTTCTTCATTTTATTTGACACCTTCACTTTGGACAATATAATTTTACAAGGATACATGTTACTTTTAGTAATACTGGAGTTACTAATCCCTCGACTAGCACTATTTGTAGGTTCTTCACTTAATAATTTTTCAAAATAGCTTTTCCATCAATCCATCCTTCCTTGATTTCCTTATCTTTTATCTTTCTTTTTCTGAAAACAGATAAGGTAAAATATTGTATTAAGTAGCACTGTAAATCCTTGTACAATGAGATTTTGTACATTAGTTCACAGGGTTACAGTACCTTATCTTTGATCTTCTTCTTTGATGCATCTAATGTGATTATTTTTCTTTTTCTCATTTGTATTAGTTTGTAAATTCCATTTTTCCCTCTTTGATACCTAATTTATTGTAGAGTTAGTCATATGCCTCAAATTTAGCTTCATGCACTTTCTTTCTAACATCCTTTCTTGTGGTTTTTTATATTTTTCTTTTTTTCAAATTTTCTACACTTTAAGTCTTTTTCCTATATTCAAAACATGCCCTTTTTTTTATAAGTAAAAATAACATGCCCATTTTGCTTTGATTATATTTTAAACCTCTTTATTCTACCACCAAGTTTCTTTAGCATTTTGGCATTTTCCTTTAGATTCTCTAAAAATGTCCTACTTTTTGCAATTCACCATTTCAAGCCACATATTGTTAGTCTCTTCATCTAAATTCCACTTTCTTTCTACCATCAAATTGTGTTACTTCTTTCTTCTTCTAGATTTTCCTACCTAATTATTGGGCATCTATTTTCTTCTCCCTTTTCTTCCATTTTTAATGCCCAATCTACCACCATTAATCTAACTGTGTGATTAGGAAAACAAAAACGTTTTCCTCTGGAATAGTCCTTATACATCATTCCTTCGTTCTCCTAATGAGGAAAATATCTATTTGATTTGAATTAGAATGTGTTTACTATTGTTATATCATAAGCGGCTGCAAATTCTAAAGTTGCATCTCCCATTTCATTCCTCTCTCCAAACCAAATTCTTCTATGCACCATATCATATCTTGTACCTCTTTTTCCCACATGCCCATATAGATCTCCCCCTATAAAAATATTCTCTTCATTTATAATTTCTTGAATAAGTCTAAGTTTTCCCAAAATTATCTTTCAATTTTTCCTTCTAAACTTGCATGAAGTGTATAAACACTAATTGTGTCAATGATTTCCTCACCTAAAACAAGTCTAACTAAAACTGCTCTAGCTCCAGTTCTTTTAACATTATAGTTTTTTTAGATCTTTATCTACTACTATTGCACTTTATTTCTAGTATTTACTTCTCCCATGTGCTATAGTTCATAACCATCAATTTCTTTAGTTTTTTCCCTTAGCATTTAGTTTCTTGTAAGCATTAAATACTTCCTTCTTCGCTGCATTGAAGGTGCTAGCTTGTTGGTAAGGTCTATAGCTGGTTGAAGCAAAAACCTAAGATCAATTCCTGCCTTCACTAGGGTTAGGGGAGTCTAGGGGTTTGGGAGAAGGCTACCTCTGTTGTGTAGACGACTTGCCTACCAAAAAAAATCCTCCTCTACATTGTTTTTACTACTTCCTTAGTCTTTGCTGTTAATCTTCCTATATTCCAAATAACTAAACATTTTTTTGTTTCTTGGATTAACTTCTTTAGTCTTTACCCACCCTTATCCAAATCGGGTTAAGGTGAAGTTTGTCAATTACGGGGAACACCCTAGCACAAGCACAAAAAGACAATTCAAGATTCATGTTCATAAGAGTTCAGAATAAGTTTTAATGCCAGCTGCCAACTTGACTCAACCCTTCTTTATCCAGCCTTGGGACAGGTAATGTAAGACAAGATCACATTAATGAAGTTGTTGAATTATCATGGGTAAATAAAGGACAAACAAAACAAGAGACATAAAATCCAATTAGTCATTATTGTAGGCTCCATTAGGATGGTTGAAATTTGGCAATATATTCTAGCAATAAAGTGTTACATAGTGTCAATGAAGAAGTTATGAAAGAAAAGCCTATAAAAATAATGAGTCATTTACAGATGAAGATAAAAAGCATTTCAAATTATTAGATTTCTCAATAATTGGAATTATTCCTTCGCATGTGGATATTTGTAAAACTATTAAGTCAAAAGAATTTTTTTCATAAGTTTTGTTGCAATTGAAGAGTATTAGTATGAAAATTATTATTTCCAAGGTCAAGATCACTATTTAGAAAAGATAGTTTTTCCATCAATAGCAAGATGAAGACCTTGTTTAGCTAACACCACTACATTACAACATTGCCACCAGCAACCTGTTCATAAACATTGGGAAGTATGGGAGAGTGAATGAGAGAAAACAGGGGAATATCACATATATACACACAACTGGATCTCACGGTAATCCTATTGCATAAATAGAAATGCTCTAGGATTGAACCACAACCTCATGGTTCTAGTGCAGAACAGCAACTGGCTTAGCTGCCCATTATTCTTTTCTCTTGAAAAGAAATCAAGATACCCAACCTATCAAGTTTTTCTATCCGGTTTATGAGTGGCCAACTAACTGAGTAATTTTTTATTGACATAAAAGCAGGTCATTAATGTGGTATGACATTGAGGACAAGAACATGCCTTCACGTAAAAGTAGGCCAGCAATAGGATATAAAATAGTACCTTGCAAATGTCAGTATAACGACTAACAAAAACCATAATTAGATTTGAACAAATGCTATTGAGGCACTTGAATCTCTGTATTCTTGGCTGGGTTGAGCAGATGTTGCCAATGCTGCAGAGTTTTCTCTGTAAAATCTGTTGGTGTTTCATTAACTTTTTAAGCTGGCTTTTGTAGGAGAGAGTTTCTTTTAAGTCCTTAAAAGTTAAAAGTGCTGTTCTATTTAACTGGAGTTAGGTTTGTTAAGTGGCTCCATCTCTTGTCTTTGTCCACCTGCTTGTGGAGTTCTTGGTTTACTTTGTACAGAGTGATTGTCTGCTATTTGGAGTCTGGTCTATATGCACTTTTTTTTTGATAGATGGTCTATATGCACTTCGGAATCATGCAAAACCTTTTATGGGCACTTTTGTCCCTTCTTGTTTCTATGTTTTCCTTGATTTTTCTATTAGAGTATACCAGTCACCGATGAGAAAAACAACAAAGTAAGCTTAAGACAACAGAGGGGGGAAATTGTGTAAGAGTAAGTAGAAAAGAGAAAAGTACCTACCAAGGACATTCGAGACATGGTGGATGACCACAAGCTTTGTTCTTTTTGAAAACATTTCTTTCATCTTCTCAATATCAGGAATATCTTCTGCTGTCAAAGTAACAAACTTCAAAACAGCACCAGTCTTTTGGGCCACAAGTTGCCAAGGAACAATAGCACTATGATGTTCAGCAACTGTAAGTATGATCTGCAAAGAACACATGTAATGAGGGCAGAAAAGACTAACAGAAAATAGAAAAGTAGATATTGGGAAAATAACGAAATAAAAAAGGAACAGTGAACCCCTTTTGAGATGTACAAAAAATTTTAAATTTGTTTGTCCATTTGCTACTTTTAGTTCAGAAATTTAAAACAAAAAAGGAATTAAAAAAAAACAACTTTTTAATGATTGGTTTATATCCATATTGGCATTTCCAAACTCTCACATCTTAAACAACTTTTTAAGATTCCCTAAATCTTAAGTTAACTAGGTATATCCATTTAAAAAAAGGTAACTCGTGGTTGAGGGACCCTCTCCCTCGATGAGGCATGAGATCCAGCCTCATATTAAAATCACTCATTATTCATCAAAAAAGAGACCCGACAAAGGAGGAGAGGATTCAGGCAGGGTCAAGATGGCAGGTCGGAGAAATTTAACCTGATGGGGAGCAATGGGAATAGCGGTGCAGGTCCGTGGGACTCAGGTGACCCAAGAGGGAATCACAGACAGCCTACACCTACCTGATTTCAGACAGGACTTTTTATGAGAAGGGGTTCAGGGGACTAGGACTCAGAAGGGACAAGGAGGACGAAGGTGGCTACTCCCAAAAGGGAGAAAGGTCAAATGGAGCCAAGGTTTAAAATGTCGATGTCGATGGAAATGTCGCTTACCAAAATATAGGACATGTGTCGGAAATGTCGAGGGGAAATATTGTAAAAATTAGAGACATTGTGGAAATATTATGAAATATGTGGAAATATGCAAAGATATTTTGTAAAATGATAAAAGAAGTATTAATACATAATTCTAGATCAATAACAAATTAGTAAATGACGATTTACTGATTTATTATGCATTTTGATGTTTTTACAAGGTTATCTGATATTTTCTTTTCTTATTTTTAGTTGTGATTTATTATAAATTCTAATATATTTATTTCACACTAGTAAATAGAAATACATTTATTCTGATTTTTAAATATTAAAGTTATAATACATTATGTTTTATTAT